ATATATATATATTTAAATAAATCAATAACTGATGGTAAAAGCAGCGTGAGAAGGTGGCGGGGAGGGGGAGCACCATGCAGCCCTCCCACCTCTCAGGGAGTTTTCTGTTGTTGCATGGATGGTGCCAAAAAACCAGTATCCCCCGCCCCAAAAAAAGCGGAGATGCCTCAAAACCATCCAGCCATGCAGGCCCCCGGAGCAGGAGCAAGGGCTACCAGGTTGGAAAGCGCGGATAACTCCAGGGAAGACACGTCACCGTCCTCTTGGTGCCAGGTATCGATCTGGTGCTGCTGCTCGCTAGCCCTCACTGGCAACGCTCGGTGGGTTTCGGGCTCTCCATTCCCGAGAAAAAATGCAGGAAGCTGCTGCTCCCAGCAGGAGGACAGGGCTGGTGAGCAGGACTTGGGAATTTAGTGTCTGCGCGCTGCTCGCTTCCGTGTAAAATAACCCCAACGGGAAGCCGCRTTTGCCAAGAAGGGGCCCCAAAGCGGCAGCAGAGCAGCAAGGAGGCAGCACGAGGACGCTGCCTGAAAAGTCTCCTCGGAATAAACTTTCTCGGCACATCTCGCTTTGGCCAGGGCTGAGAATAGCCCGCGGTGCCTGTGAGCTGCCTGCCCATCTGGCCGGCTTCCCAGGGCGGCAGCTTTGCCCGCGTCCGTCTGTCCCCAGGCCGCCCTCGGCTCCCTCTGCTCCGCTGGTGCCCGTTCCGCTGGTGCCCGTCCATGCACAGAGCTCCCTGCCCGTGGCACCTCCCATCCCGCCCGGCAGCGGGATGCAGCAAGCTGGGATGCTCCTGGCCACCGGCAGCACAGGCACCATCTCCTCGGGATGCTCCATGCCCTGAGAGCTGCCCCAGGAACAGCAGCATCTCCAGGCCGGGAGGAGAGTTTGTCCCTGCCAAAACGTGCTGGAAAAAGCCCTTCCAAGGCAGCTGCGAGTCCGGGGCCTCTCCATGCCCATTGCCCAGGGCAGAGGTGGCTCCTGCCTCCCTCCGAAACACAACCCCCTGCAGCGCATCCCCGTGCCGAGGCCGCAAGGAAGCGCCGCAGCCCGGCAAGGCGCGGGCCTGGAACGGCTCCTCGTGGCCACGACGCGCCAATTAATCCTCATTTACACCCTGGCACTCGCCAGGCTTTAATTTCACAGCTTGTTAGAGGCCTCCTTGCCGCAGGACGGCTGCCAATCGATCTGCGGCCGGGGGTGACAGATCCCATGGGCTGAACGGCTCGGCCGGCGGCCTGGGGCACTGCTCGCTTGCCCATTAAAGCATCCATAGGGGACATCCCACGTGGCATCGTGCAGCTACAGCCCTCCCATGGCTCCTGCCTTGCCCCCAGCAAGAGGGACCCAAGCGGTGGAGAGCCCAGGCGTAGGGCAGGGGCTGCAGCAGCTGGGGGAGGATGTGCCCAGGGGTCAGCAGAGAGGCCCGTCTCATTTGGGGGATCAGCCCCGTGAGGTTTGGGAAGATGCAGCCAGGAAGCCCATCCATGTTGAGGCAGGGCCAGCTGGAGGGCAGAGCTCCTCCATGAGGCCTCACACATGCTTGAAAGCACCAGGCTGGGCTTAACTAGGGCTGGTGAGCCCAGAGGGAGGCCAGGTGAGGCTGCTCGGGGCCGTCCGTGGCAGGTTTCTCTCCCTCATTTGSCTCTGCTTGTTCTGTCACGGCTGGTGTCAGCTGGCAGCAGGTGCCCAGATCAGCATGGGAAACAGCATCAGCCAACGCCAAGAGCCAACAGCGTCCGCAGCGTGTAGCCAGAGCCCAAAACGCAGCGTTTTCCCTCCCCTGCCCAAACCCGCTCCTTGGCGGCAGAGTTGGGCTCTGAAGGCACAGGGCGGCTGTGGCAGGGAGAGGGTCGGGCTTGGCTACAGCTCTATCAGTGCTGAGAGGGCGGCTAGAGCTGCTGGCCRCAGGTCTGTGCTGCTCGAGGAGCGAGCTGGAGGCCAGGAGCTGCTGTCAGGGTGGAGAACAGCCCAGCCTGTGCATAGGGGCTGGTTAAAGATGTTCCAGCCCCTTTGGCATCTGGCCCAAAGGTGTCTAGCCTGGACTCGGGACTGCTCCGACTTCTCTCTGGCTGGGATGAGTAGTAATGCGGACAGCAAGAGCAGCCTGGGGACAGCTAAGGGAAGCCACCAACACTGCCTTTGTGCACAGAGGAACACCATGGGCTGCCGAGCGACGTTGGGGTGCTCTTCCACCACTGGGTGGCAGTGGGCACACGCGTGCCCGCCTGCACACCCATGCACCCATCCATCCCCACAAGCCCTGCACAAAGGGCGTCTCTCCCTGCTCCTCCCGGCTGCTCCCACAGCACGAGGTGATGGGGAGCAGTGGGCACCACATCCCCTCCTGCTCGTGGGAAGGTTCCAAGGACCCCAGCACTGTCCCCAAGGAGAAGGAGTCCACGCCGGGACATGCCGGGAGCAGGGAACGCGGTGGCCGCGGAGCCCGCGGGAGCGCAGCTGCGCCGCACAAGCCCTGGAGGTCCTTGTAAGACAAGGGATGACATGCTTGATGGGACTTCTTAATTAGGTCTCGCTCAACCAAGATGTTCCGGGGCTCCCCTGGCAGAACAGCRTCAGACAAAACATTAATCACGCTCCAAATAAATAATTAAAGCGTCGTGGCTCTCCAAAAAAGGAAATACAGGAAAAATGAAAGCCACTGGTCCCAGCCCATAAGAAGGGCCATGGGCASCAGGTGCAGAGGACAAGGTTGGCACAAGCAAAAGGCTGGGAAGAAGTCAGCGTGGTCCAGACCACAGGAGCCAACACAGGGAGCACCAAAGTCCTGAGAGGCATCAGGATAGGGTTTAAGATGCCCAAACTTCTGCATAAAAACACATTTATCTACAACTAACATTTGTGGCCTCAAGTGATAGAAGGCTCCACAGCAGCACCACGATCATTGACCATGTGCCCTGGGGTAAAATAACTGCCCTCCTTTGGTCTCCTGCAGTCTCATGAGATTTTTATTCCCACTCACTTCTAGGAGCAGCAGCGAGGCAAGAGCAGAAGCAACAGACAGGTGGTGAGATGAGGCTGCTCCTCTCCCAGGGAGCCTCTCCTTCCCTGCCAGGGAAAGGTGGTGCAAGGGGAGCACCTTGTTTCCCAGCACATGCCAGGTCTCCAAAGCTCCCTTCTTTACCCCAAGAGCATTCCCCTGGGGAGTTTTTCCCAAGAGGAAAGAAGGATGTGAGGGGAAGAAGGGGATGCAGAGGGCTCCCAGAGATTCACCAGGCTCTGCACGGGTTCACCAGGAGGAACAGTGCCCAAATCCTGGGGGACTCCAGCTGGAAAAYCCCACTGGGAAAAACTTCTTTACCTGCCGCCTAAGAAACACTTCCAGGAGGAGAGAAAAAAAGGAAGAGGTGCTTCTCAAAAGCAAATCCTCCCCCCACCCATCGTGCCCTCATTGCTGGAGCAGAAATGAATACTCAATATAAGCAACATGGAGCTTAAATTATGCATGGAGCTATTTGCGTCAAAGAWGATGATGTAGAGGAAGGCAGGCTCGCCTTCCCGCAGCCACGCGGATGCACTCAGGGACGGGACAGGACAGAGCTTGCTCCCTTACAGCGCCCAAAATGCAGCCAGCACCGTGCCGGACCTCATCCCGGCCTCTCCAGGAAGGGATGTCCGTGTGCTCCGACGTGGCTGGATCACGCAGCCAGGCTGCCGAATCCTGCAGCCACAACCCTGGGATTGCACGGAGCAAAGGCTCAATCCCCCCAGCAATCCCAGCAGCCGGCTCTCTGCATCCCCACACCAGCTCCAGGCGTGCCAAGAGCCCAGCGGATGCTCCGACATGCACCGGGAGCAAAGGGCTCCCCCCAAACCAACCTTATTGCATTAATAGTTGCTGGTAACGAAGTTAGACAGCACTTAGAGTCCCTATCAAATTAGGAAAGCTATAATGAACAAGAAGTGGTGCATTAATTCATTAGCAGCGAATTACACTAAATTATCTCRGCAAATAAGGCAAAACTTTAATTTACTAGCGGTGTTTTCAAATGGCTTTTGCTCCTTGCCTCCCCTTTGTGCCACAGTGAATTTGTTTTTAGTGACAGCCAAAACAAGAGAAGAGAATTAAATCCAGCTCTTCAGGGAAACAATTCGGTCACGCAGACCGGAATAAAGAACCAGAAGAGGCACCAGGAACTTCCCTCCTCATCTCCTTTTCCAGGTCCATTTTCCAGGCAGAAAACAGCATATAACAAGGAATGACTAACAATAAATAACTTCCAGCACRTTTTCTAGGGCATGACCTCAGAGAAAGCTCACCAAGGCAGGAAAAACCATCCCAGCACCTCCGAGCTCTACTCACATGGGCCAAAAACCACCTCCTGCAAGAAAATGGGTATTTTTTACACAGGAAATCCCTTTGCACAAGTAACTGCTCGTGCAAACCGCCCCAGCAAAGAGTCTCAGGGCTTAGAATAATGTTCTGCTTTGCTAATCGCCACGGCCGGAAAAAATCATGTAGCAATTTCCTTGGACATCTGCAGGCAGCACGTTAATAATGGATGTCCTTGGGAAATTAGCCCTGATACGGAGCTGCCAATTTGTACATGTTTAATACATAAACGCGGCCATCAAAGTTTAATGCCCGCTTCGAGGGGGCGCAGACCTGCGTGGCCTCGGCGTGCAGAGCAAGGCACAACTCGTGTCATGTCCTCAGCCCCAGGCGACACGAGGAGAGACCCTTGGCAGGGACCAGGAGGCCTCATGCACAGGCAATGCAGCATTTCCAGGGCTTCTTCCCCTTCCCACATCAGGAAGGGAGGATGGAATAGAAACAGCTCCTGGAGCCTTGGGACACCAGGGACCTCATCCACAGGCACGAGTCAGGTGCATGTCCATAGGGTTGGGCTAAAAGGAACCCTTGGACATGGTCATCAAGCCCTTCAGCCACCAGTGTCTAGAGTATGGTGGACAGGAGAGGCCCTTCTTGCTCAGGGCACACAGCACTTAAGGCAACAGGGCTCCCTACTCCAAAAACGCAGTAAATAAGATTGAGGAAGCCCTTGGCACCTCTCTGCTGCCCTAGGGTTCCTCTCCTGGCTCTCTAACTGCTCTCATCTCATCTGGGTTCATGTCCACATCGCAACCCTGGCAGATTGTTATAAAGGTTCATTCCTTTAGAAATTGGAAGATACACCCATGGAGTGACACTCTGGCCTCGGCCACTTTGAGCAGCGATTTCCAGCTCGCAATTGCTATTCCACACACAGCCACGCACACTGAGAGCCCTTAAAGTGAACGAGCCCGGAGGCCACGGGCAAGGCAACGTGAACCTCGGGGCTGTTGTTCCAGCAGCAAAGGAGCAGTTAGAAGGGATGGGGAGAAGACTGGAAGGAGAGGGATCAGGAGAAGCCAACAGCAGACGCTGCTTCCCAGCACAGGCTGGGAGACAGTGGAGAGAAGAGAGGGACAGGACAAGGGCAGGGCCAAGGGACAGGTTTCAGGTGCTCCCAGAACCACCAGCCAACAGACTCTGCAGCCAAACTGAGCATTTCTTCCTTGYTCTCCTTTTCCTCCTCCGTACAAAGGAGAGCTCATGTTCGCTTCCCCAGGCATCTGCAGCTGGGGGCAGCCTGGGACTCATGCGCTGCCACGAGCTCAAGGCACAAAGCAGAGCTATGCAACACATGCAGTCATGGGGCATCCTCAAAAGCACCAGCCCGAGGTGGACCCTGTGCACAGCGCACCCCCAAAACAGCATACAGGAGGGCTGCATGGCCACCAAGCCAGGCAAGATACAGGCAATGGAGACACCCTATCTACCAGGCTCAATGCAAGCAAACACAGCTCCCACCTCCCTCCCTCAGGGCATCTTCCCATATC